TGGCTATGGCTGGGATAGCACTACCTCCTATCGAACAGTTTCACTGAAATCATGAAAATAAATAAATAAATAAATAAATCGCTATTCCCTCAGGCCACAGCAAGGCAACACCAACTCTGTCCGCAGCCTGTTGCCTAACGTGGAAAGCAGCTAGATTTCCACCTTGAGAGAAATTTAGGAGGGACCTGATGAGGCCAGAGCAGCCTGAAGGACGAGGCCATTGGCAGGTCCAGAGTTACAGCCAGAAAAGCCAAACCAAGCATGCAGAGGGGAGGACCTGCAAACCAAAGCCCAGTCGCATGGACACCCTTGCACTGGAGACGTGCACAAGAGGAGGAAGAGGATGGTTTTCTTATGCTCGCTATCCCCGGTCTGCCACCACGTGCATATCCACTGTCACACACTAGACACGTGCCAGGCTCTGAACGCACATCAGCAGGGCCGTGCCGCAGAGCGCTGCAGCCTTGCGTATCTTCATATTTTGGTAGCATGCCTGAGATTCCTAAGGTGCAACAGGCAGGGCTTTGCACAGCTGCCAGCACTCGGCCTTGTTTTTCCTCTAGGTTTCTTTGCCTTAAAGAGCCTTTTATGGTACAAAAACAGTGAATTCCGGTCTTCCCTTGACGTTTCACTCCCAAACAGTGAAAGACTGGATGCCACATTAGTTTAGCTCTGCAAGGGGCTCCCCTGAGTGCCAGAAGCCCATGGAAAAAAAAAAAAAATCAGACTTTCCTACAGCAAAAGTGCATGGATTTAGTCATGCTTCTGCACAGTCTGTTTGCTTGGCCACAGTAATTAGTTCCTAACGATAGTCTCACATAGAGATATGTCAGACCTTCCGCGAAGGAAGGATTCACGTGGCCTCAAAGACATTTCTTTGGGTGAGGCGATTTTGACAGCGAGAATCACGGTTGGGTGCCGTTAGCAAAGCAATCCCCAGGGCTCACAGGGGACTGGGGGAGGTAAATCCCCCCGTTTTCTCTCCTCTGAAATCTTGGCACTTGGCAAACAGGAATTTGACATTAGTGTTGCTTCTGGGGTAATCCACAAGTCTCAGCTCCTAACTTTGAGACCTGCCAGCCCCAGTGAAACCCGCTGGCCCGCTAAGATGAGGCCACTTGTTCATTGTCCTCACACATGAAAGACCCCCTTTGGCCTTAGGGCGATCTCCACCATGAAACGAGTTTATCCCGCCTCGGGTAGCCAGCCCAGCGGTGAAATACGAGCGGCATCCATTCAAGGACATGTCGGGATGGGCAGCCTCAGCAGCTGGTCTCCGCAGGCTTCGGGACACAGCGTTTGGGATATGGACGGCTGCTGAGCGGGGAACGCAGAGATACTCCAGGCAGCTCTGGCTGGAAACAAGGAGGCGGGAGGCTTTCGAAAGCAGGGGTGAGTTCTGTAGCTGCCGCGGGATCTGGGTCAGGAAAGGGATGAGACCCATCAGGGACGCACAGTCATCAGGACAACACCTAAAAGCCGGGAGTCAGGCTGCGGCGCACAGCTCCCGGGGCTGACACGGCTCCGAGCCAGGACGGGTGCAAGGTGAAGCGTTTCAGACGCGCAGGTTCAGCCTGCGCCCTCTGACAGGCTCCCGCGTGTGTCGCTGAGCTGGGGATCACAGTGCCGCTGCCTAGGGCCAAACGCCCTCGGGGCGGCAAGGAGACGGACGCCGCAGTCCCAGGAGTAACGCAAACACCCAAGCTGGAAAACTCCACCTTGTGGTTACAAGCCAGGAAGGTGCTAATGGCAGTACAGCCCTTTTATAAACCTTAGCAATTAGTTCCCAAAAATCTATACACAATTATTTACTGTCACGGGTGTAGACACTGAGGCAGGGGCCAAGGCCAAAGAGAAAGCTGGTGACGGAGCTGGGATTACATCTAAAGAGGCTTTCTAAGTGATATTCAATATATTTACTCTTGACTACAAAGCTGAGCTAAAAGAAGGAAGCAGCACGTGAATCAGGTTTTTAAAAGGCAGCAGCTCTGCACAGTGCAACCTGCTCCAAGAAGACATGCTAACCGAAACAGCAAATTAAAGTTAAAAGAAAGTAAAGACAATTCTCCCCTTTGCAGCAGGTCTGGTACTAGCTGCCTTCAGAGCTCAGCCTGCTGAAGCCCTGGATATCTGAGCAGCACCAGCTTGGTCCTGTAAAATGCTTTTTGGGGATGCCCTAAGGGGGAAACCCAGATGCAGCTGCTCCGCAGCCACTGGCCACCCTCTAGGAGCTGCAGCAACCACCATCCTCAGCTGCAGGCAAACCCCCCCGTGAAGAACGAGGGGAACGCGATCAGAGGAGATTTATGGCCGGAGAGGGCTGCGTCCTCTTCCCCGGCCGCACCAGTTGCATTACACAAGCTCTGCGAGGGGAGGACTCTCTTGAGGAAAATGGCTCTAACGTCTTATTTCCTCCAACTCCAAGGTTTCCTTAATAGGAAATTATTTCCAAGCCGCGCTCGTGAGGGCTGCAGTCCCTCGCGAGGGCAGCGGGCGCATTCCAGCCCCTGATGGAAAACACTGCCAAACCGCTTTTGATCCAACGTGTAAATAGTGTATAATAAAAAGAGGCTTCTATAAACCGACCGAGCTGTCAGGGAGCAGCTTTTGCAGCTCTAACCTCGTTATTTATGGCTGGGGAGCAGCAAGGGCGCGCGCACTCCTCCGGGGTGCCGTGAGCGCCGGTATCGGGCTGAGCCTGCGCTGCCCCTCGCTGCCTGCCCGCTCACACCACGGCACGCTGTTATTTTTATTGTAGCTGTCCCTGCACGGCTTTCGCTTGAAATCTTGCCGGCTTCTCTCTGCCGGTCTCCGAGGTGACGGAGCCTGGCTGCAAACAAGCCTGTTCCTGCAACGCTTGGAGCCGAAACAGCTGCCGGCAACGTAGAGCTGGGCTTTCTCTAAAGGGTTTGCGGCAGGAGGCAGAGTCAGGGGGTTGAAATAGGGCATCTTCCTGGCTGCAGGTATCTCCTAGGTTTGCCTGATAACAAAGTAAGGTTCATAGAATGGCCGTAAAAAGGAGCGAGGCAGGAGAGCCCCGGGATCGCACCCAGGAGACCCCGCTCACGCCACTTCCCACCACGCCGGTCTGCAGGAGCAAAGAGAAACTCTGTGGCCCCCAAAAGCAAGGCCATAACTTGGGACCGGAGCTCTGAGATCGTGTCAAGCATCGCAGTGAGCCTGACTCCAGCTAAACCCCAAAGGGGAGCAGAGAGCAAGCACAGGGTGCCCCATCCAAACTGAAGCGGGGTTGGGCACGTCCAGCCTGGATGGCCCTGGCTCCAAAGGATGGAGATCTCCATCGCTGCTGAGCGACAGCCAGGCAGGGAAGGGTCTCAGTAGAGAGGTGAGATGAAAACCATGAGGACTTTCACAACCGCATCTCCCTGAGGAAGAAGGGGAGCGAGGAGGCTCTGAACTTCCACCCACCAGTGCCCCCATTCTCCATTACAGACATCCCCACCAACTGGTTTGGGCACCAAGCACCCATTTTAGCGAATCAAACTACAGGGGCCTGCTCCCACCAACTCCATCCCCCCCACACGGCACGGGAGGAGGAAAAGGGCTGCCACAGGGACCAGGCACCTACCTCCGCTCCATGGCCAGACCAGCTTAGAGACAAGCAAGAAACATTGCCAGAGGACGGACGCTCTGCTTTCCTACCGGCAGGGCCCCAACGGGCAGAGGGGAGACCAAGCAGCAAGAGCACTGCTCCTTCGCCTCCTCCTGCCTGGCTGGTGGGGGAACAGTGGAGCAATTAGCACTTCCAGCTGATTACTAACACAGCTAATCACGAGCTGAGCCCACCTGTCTGCTTTTCAAAGCAAACCCTGCCGCGTCCTCTCACCTTGCTCCTCTGCCGGTGCTCCCAAAGCTCGGAGCTGCGTAAACACCGCGGGAGAGATGCTTGCGCAGACGGCGGGTGAGGGAGCTCAGCCCGCCGCGGAGCGGGGGGCCGAGGCGGGGAC